GCTACGCGCGGCGGCTGGCGGACGGGAGCCCGCGGGCGGACGGGACGGTCTCGCTGGTGCTGGGCCCGGAGCCGACGCTGGTGGACACGGGGGGCCCCTGGGGGCGGGCGCGCCTGCTGGCCGGGCTGGCGGCCGAGGGCCTCTCCCCGGGCGACGTCCGCCACGTGGTCTGCACCCACGGCCACTCCGACCACGCGGGCAACCTCAACCTCTTCCCGCGGGCCGACCTGCTGCTGGGCGCCGACCTCAGCCTGCCGGACGGGCGCTACCTCCCCACCGGGCTGCGCCGGGGCCTGCCCCACGTGCTCCACGCCGGCCACCTGGAGGTCCTGCCCACCCCGGGCCACGCCGGGGGCGAGGACGTCAGCCTGATGGTGCGCGGCACCGCCCTGGGCCACGTCCTCCTGGCCGGGGACCTCTTCGAGCGCGAGGGCGACGACGGGCAGTGGCAGCCGCTCAGCCAGGACCCCGCGCGGCAGGAGGCCAGCCGGGCCCACGCCCTCCGCATCGCCGACGTCATCGTGCCGGGCCACGGGCCGCCCTTCCGCGTCTTCAGGGGGGAGGAGGAGGAGGGGGCCCCCACCCCCGGGCCCGGGGCCTGCGGGCCCTCCCCAGGGGCAGAGGGCCATTAAAGAGCAGCGTGACCCCCAGGAGCTTGTGTGTGCGTGTGTGATGGCTTCCTTCGTGGCGCCTCGTCGTGGGCTAACCTTTTTAAGCGGGGGGGGGGACATGGAGGCGGGCGCCCCCACAAAATGGCTGCTGCTGCTGCCGCCGCAGGAGGACTCTTCAGCACCCCAGGTAGAAGCTCTGCTTGGCAAAACAGCTACTCAGATTGTCTTCCATGCAACGGATTGATATCTTCAGTCGCACACAGTGCAGACACTTTTCAACGATCGGGACAGCTGATCAGATCTCCCCTGGCCGCTCAGAAGCCCCCACAGGGCAAAAAGCCCCCGCCTGACTGCGCCCACTTTGTGATACCACTTGGTGGGCGCCCCCAGGCACCTCTGCGTCGGGGACCCCTAGATCGGAGAATCAAGGCACAGCGGGTGTGGGTGTGGGTGTGTGTCTCTGGGCACCTGCCCTCTTTTCTTTGGCAGGCGGGGGGCGCAGAGGAGGAGGCGGGGGCGCAGCCGGCCCCAGAGAGGCTGATCCATGGTCCTCTGTGTGCCCAGGGAGGATTCCCCCCCCCACCCACTGGCTGTTCAGGCTGTCAGTTCTGACACGGGGAGGACTTTGGCTGCTGCGCCACCCTTACATCACTGGGAGCTGTGTTGGGGGGGGGCGGGGGGCACCTTTCCCTGCAGCTTCTCTTTCCATCCTGGATGGCGTGACATGGTTCCGGGGGGGTGTGTTGTTCTACCCCAGGCCAAGGAACCGTTAGGGCCTGAGAGGCCTGCATCTGGAGCAGGCCTGGACCCCTCCGACCTCCAGGTCTGGGTTTTGGGAGCCCCACCCCTTCGCCTCGCTGTCCTTCTGAATCAGAATGGGAGGGAGGGGAGGCAGGACCAACACCTCCAAGCGCCAGACTGAGCTTCCTGCCAGCAGCCAACAAGGCATGTGACCATTCCCCTCCCCTCCCCCAAGGGTGGTGTGTGTGTGTGTGCCTGGGCACACCCAAGAACAGCAGCTCCTGGCTCCCGGCCAGTTCCATCTACCGACCCGGGTGTCTGTTGGCAACGGGGCAAAGGTGGCATTTATAAGCCTAATGGACAGGAAAGTGCCAGCCAGCCCCCCCCCCCCCCTACTGACAGGCTCCTGGGTGCAGCAGCAGCAGCACCACCACCTGCGTGTCCCATATAAGCCGCTCTGCCCAGAGGTGCCCATTCCGCCTCGCCATGTGTACCGGCGCCTGCTCCAGAGTGGTGGCGGCTGCCCTCTGGCCCTTTGCCCTCCTGTGTATCGTGGCCAACCTCCTCCTGGCCTTTCCCGACTGGAAGACCGAGTATGTCCACAACGGGGGCGAGCACCTGACTCCCGAAGTCCTCTACCTGGGGGGGATCGTAGGAGGTGGAATCATGGTAAGGACGTTGGGGGGGGGGGAGAATTCCAGCCACGGTTCTCAACCTCTTGTAGAGGTCGACTCGAAGTGCGTGGGAAAGCAGCAAAGAACAAGGGCTCTGGAGTGGGTCCCGACAGCAGGCCCTGCCTGGATGAGGCACTTTGGGGGGGGGGACAAGGGCTGCCCATGGTCATCCTGGCCGGGGAGATGTTGCAGGCTCCCTTCCCAAGGCAGCTCCCTCCGGGCACCTTCAGCTGTGGATCCGCAGGGATAACAGCCTTGGGACCTGGGAGAAGGAAAGCTGGGGGGAGGGTGTGTGGAATGTGCCTTGGTGGTGGTGGTGGTGGTTGGGGGGGTATTGTACGGCCCCTTGGCCCCTTGCACTGATCCAGACTCTCTCCCCGCCCCCCAGGTTCTTGTGCCAGCCATCCAAATCCAGGCACCTGGGAGCCGTGGGTGCTGTGGGAACCGCTGTGGGGTGAGCCGGGGGG